ATCAAACCAGTAAACCTCGTGGAATATCACACTGTTCGAGAGTACTCAAACAGCGCTGCCGTACCCCTTTATCCAATATTTCCACCCTAAAGTGCATACGGGTACTGTACGTGCCGCACAGCGGCCAAACGCCGGTATCACACCAAAACCCAAACTCCCCCCTCCCGGTATTGGCCCAAACCCCAACAGAAACGCCGGTGCGCATCCAAGATACACACTCGAGTACCCGAGTACTGCGGGGCCCAAATTCCTAAGCTTTCTCAGCTCATCGTGGCCCGCCAATCCACATAAGCCCTGACGGCACAGATGAGGCAGGATATAATCAAGCACCGGTGGATTGAACGTTGTACCGGTACTCAAATACCGGCAGACTCAATGGTGCCGGCACTTGAGTAGCCTCTGCTACTTGAGTACTCGAGTAGAGAGAGGACTGATATCATACCCGTATGCATACGCCCTGCGCCATACTCGTACAAGAGATCACATTCTTGATCGGCATCCTGGGTTCATGCCCAGCCAGCGGTGATCTATCATACCCACTGGCACTACGAAGTTTGGGAAACCTGCCCGGTCGTGTTGCCAACCACCATTGCTATTGGAGCATTGAACGTCGTGTCGAAAACCACATCCACCGCTGCCATGTGTTTTCCACTTGTGGTTATGTGCACCCAGTAAAAGCCATTGTTGACCGCAAGTGAACGATGCCCTGGTTCTTTCTAACAGATCGGCTAGAGCTTCCGGGTTTACGGCCTGCAGCCGTGATAGAAAGTTGCAGGTTGGAAAGCGGCCAATGCTGTAGCCTACAACATCCATTCACCACACCGAACAAGCATCCCAGGAAGCCAGCCTTTCATACCGGCATTGGATGAAATACGCTATGCTGCCTAATCTCACCCTCTCTTTTTACGCAATTGCTATTATACGGTGCGGTATTGCAGACCTAAGATGCCCCAGGACTAAATTACTTAGAACCTCGCCAGGTCCCTGACGTCTCTCACAAGAGCACAGAAGCTTTTATTAAGTTAAATTACTGTAAAATCTCGAATAATTGAACAATGTGCTATGAAGTCAAAATAAGGTGTGAAACCGGAAAGCACGGAAATTAAGGTATGAGTAACAGTTTTTCAACAAAAAAAATAAAAAGTATGAGGAGTAATCAACGGACTTTGCCATTGACTCCAACATCAACTCATCATTACAAAGAGTGGTGATCTATAGTTAACTCCTGTGACTATAATAAATAAATAAATAAAAGAATAGAAAAGCAATTGAGGATAGAGCATATATCCAAAGGTGAAAATGTCAACAATGTCCTCCAACAAGAAAGCAGCTGGACGTATCAAAGTCCAAATAAATCTCCCAACCCTTCCTCCAATGAAGTTCTATGCTGGAATAAGAAAGAAAAGAGGCCCAAAGCGAAATCCATTAAGCAAAACCCTCCAGAAAGTCTCTCACCTAAAGCTGGTTCAAAATCCCTATCGGTCATACACAGTTAGTTACAGACTACGTATCCTTTCATACTGGTATACGGCATCAATACCATGTGGTCTAACCAAATTACAAGGACCCAGCAGAGATGAAGTAGCAAATTACTTCAAGATACGTGTTGGGAATCTTGCACGATGGAAAAAAGAAGAAAAAGAGGAAAAGTACGAAGCCCAAACAAGGGAGCAGCGGCGGGCTGTAGGAGGAGGACAACAACGACAGTAGAAGGAGATGGAGCGAGAACTATTTCTCCAGTTTCGGGAGTGAAGGGCTTTAGGAAGACCAGTGAGAAGGGGGTGGTTTCGGAGAGCAAGCAAAGATATTTTTGCAAAGCTCTATCCTGAGAGAGATCCAAAGGAGTTCTGCTGCTCCCACAGATAGTTTCGTAACTTTTTATCCTAGAATCAAATTAGTTTAAGATTTGTAACTAATATTGTAAGTAAACTTCCTACTGACTTTGGAGATGTCATACTTACCTGGATGCGGTATAATCGAGGGAATTCACAGCTGCAAGAGGGTGAGTGACAAAGTCAAGGGGCTGTGGGGCGGTATCGTCTGCAAAATATATGCAATATGGATCAGACACCTCTTCCATTTGAGTATTTAGAGGGACAGACTTACAATGCTATTGGGGATAAAACTATTTGGCTTCAGTCAACGAGATCCAGCTGGGACAAGAGACAAGGAATGATTCAACTTACCATATTCGCTGACGGTATTCCGCGGGTCACTCCTCTTATTTTCTTTAGAGGAAAAGGGATTGAACCATCAATCCTAGCAGAGCAGAAGCTCTACAATCCAAGGGTAGTGGTGAAATTCAATCCCACCGCTTATGCTAATTCAACCAATATGGTTGAATGGCTTGAAACCCAACTTGTTCCGATACTTGATTGTCAGCCGACTCTTCTTACTCTTGATCTCTTTGCTGGGTACAAGACAGATGAAGTTCTCGATACCTTCGAAGCTCACGATATCACAGTGAGTGTGATACCTGTAGGCTGCACTGGGATTGTGCAGCCTCTCAATGTGTCTGTAAATCGACCCTTTAAAGATATATTAAAAGTTAGTTGAAATTCAAAAAAAACCAAATTGCAATTCTAATATTACAACATATAGGAGACATTAGAAATAAAGCTCACAGATATCGAAGATGAGGAGGAGAAAATACTTACTGCAGAGGGTGTACTGCGAGGAAGTATGGTTGGTCGGCGAAGGGTGACAACTACATGGGCAGTTGGGGAGGCATGGGAGCGATTTTCAGTAGAGCGGATGGAGGTTGTTCGAAAGGCTTTTTGGGTAGTTGGTCTCTCACTTCCCGTTGATGGAAGCAAAGACCTGGAGTTATCTGTAAAAGGATTAGCTACAGACATTCTAAAAGCTGGACTGGGAAATTGGGGAATTGCAGAAGAGGTTGAAGCAGATGAACGAGAGCTGGAGGAGGAGGATGAAGATGAACTTAATTTTTCCTATGATTAGATTAGCCAAGAATTTCTGGAACTGATATTGCGCAATCCTATTAGCAATAATTTAGCATGACTCACCTTAATTCCACTTCCTAGCACATTGTTCAATTATTCGAGATTTTACGGTATGTTACAATAAAAATTAGTGGAGCGCATACTGGTCGCGTGTTACACCACAGGCATTCTGACAAGTCCCTATTAGTAATTCTCATCATAACGAGGCATAACAATAAAGACAGCGCCGTAAAATCTCATGAAATCCACTCTCTCCTTCAGCCTAGGATAGGCCCAGATAATGAGATCCAACACCTGTTGAGGGCTGATCTTACGCTGTGCCAGGAAAACACTAATCCTTCTCAGGAGCTTTGGCTGACAAGTACAAGTAGAATCCGGATATTACTGGGGTGCCGGAGATAGTGCATATCACGAGATTTTAGAGTAGAAGGCTTCTTCTTGACCAACGTAACTTAGTCTACTGGCATTATACATGAGCAGTAGCTGCCATGTTTTGTAGAGGAAGCTTTTGCCTTTGTTATACCTTACAAAGTAGATCATTTACGCCATCTCATTACTTGGAAGAAGCGATAAGGCATCATACCGCCTTCAAAATTTAGACAATAAAACACTTATCAAGGCGCTTATGAGCGCTGTGTAACCCAGACATGATACAAGTACCGGTATGATCCAGAGCTGTTGAAAGTTACCTCAAACGCCACACTACCAAGGTCGGTATACAGTCGATCAAGGGGCGTAAATTGCTCAAACAATGCTATGAAGCTCAAAGGTAACCAAAAACAAATGATAAAATTAATTCTCCTACTGAGTTTTTGGAGGTTTATATCGAAGGTCGGCAATCCCCAGGTATGATGATCGCGACCTAACCCACAACCTCCCACAAAACAGGGCGAAGAGCAACCAAATAATAATAATTACCCAATAATGCGATTATCTCCACTTTGGCAAAATCTTCATACAAGAGTATATTCCACACTAACAAGTCGCCTAACGTGCTTGCTTCTATCATACTACAAATGAGAGAAACAATAGATAGACTAAATTACATCGTGAGATTTTTTGGTTGTTCTCAACGGGCCCTGCTTGAGAGTTAGGGTGATGGCTTGGCGCTGCTGCCTCAACAACACCTAGCAACACCTGGCGCGTTTAAAATTGTCACCTCCTTCTTTCTTTCCCTTCCTTTCCTTCCTTCTTCACACCGCAACTCATTCTCCACACCCACAATTCAATTACCTCCCCCCAATTCCTCCCTTTCTTAACAACCGATTAAACTGATAACTCGGAAATGTCTGATATTACCTCCCCCTCTGGCCCGGCTACCGAGAACCCTACCGATAAGGGTAAGGGAAAGGCCATTGCTCCTGAAGAAGAGGAATCTGATTCATCTGGTGAGGAAATGGAAACTGTTCGCCTCCCCACTCCTCTATTAATTAAATTATCAATTGTTTGTAACGAAGCTAACGTTTCTCGACCGTTATTAGGAGGCTGAAGAAGAAGGTAGAACACAATCCCATTCATTCACATCCCAACCCCATTCACCCTTCAGCTAACTAAAAATAATTATTCGATATAGAGCCTGAGGTCGAGGATGACGAATTCGCAGGTCTTGATACCAGCAACATCATAACAGGCGGCCGTACTCGTGGCAAACAGATCGACTTCGCCAAGGCTGCTGCAGAGCAGCCCGCCGACGAGGATGACGAAGAGGATGATGAGTACGCTCCTGCTGAAGAAACCGCCCAGCGTGGTCCCGGCAACGATGGAATGGATATCGACTCATAAATGAGACAAATTTCCTTATGTGTGGTGGAAGGGAGCTTTTCTGGATCAAACAATTTACAAGGAGTGAAAAGTTAGGCTGGGAAGGGCACTCGTCTTTTGCTAGCTTAGCCTTGTCGTTGTTTATTATCAAAAACTCTCTTCTCTTCTAACTCAATGGTTTACTCCCGATATTCTACACTATGTTCAATTGGCGTGCTCTTCTCTGTTCTGTTCTGATGAATAGAACAATAATTACCCTGTTTTTGCTATGGTATTATGGTGATGGTTGGTGATGAAGCTATGTGCTTACAATGTGCGATAGAGAATTCCCGAGAGCCTTTTTTTTTTTTGGAATTATCCTTAATCAAAAGGGGATTTTCTGGGAGACTGTAATTAAGTATGGTTACTTGTATGCATTACACGAGCAACATAGTACCATTTGAGGTTGTTAGTTGCGAGGCCATAGCAAAAACAAATTAATTCTAGTCTTGCTGATCCGCATCACCAGCTACTTATTATAGTGCTTGAATACAACATGTGTCATGAAGATTGCTCTAATTAAGCGTCAACTATATTGTTCTTGAAGAACACATACAAGCATTTACTTTTCTAAAAAAATTAGATTCTGTCATATGTCTCACTCTTTCATGATAGAAAGTTTCACCATCCAGCACAAGAGCATTACATACCCTCTTCCACTCACCTAACATTTAGCATGCATTGACAACCTAATCAATGGATGACTATTCCGACGGACCATCATTTAAAACATAGCATCTTGGCGGCACATGTGTGATCCATTCGCACAACCCCCTACTGGTATTTATTATCGTTCAGACACAGCTCAATAACAGGAAATCATCCATATCACGACATCCACCCACAACACAACAATGGAAAGTACATAGTAGAACCGAAGAATTTCTCGCACGGGAAATATATTGGTATCGGCGCATTCAGCATCCATCCAGAACCTAACGAGAAGCAAGACAGCTAATTGACTGACTGACTGCTCGGTCTCGGCCGGCAAGTAGGGTCAAGTAGGGTCCCGGTTGAGAAGGTCTAGCTATGAAAGCAACTCAGGCGCAGGCTATCTTGCCACGAGACCGACTTATAAGGGTTATATGGGACTCTGTCGATCTTCCCCTTGGATGGGCGAGCACGCGTTCTCATACCCGGAAAGTCTCTATCTCTTCGTTTGTGTCCAGGTGTCACCGTCTCTTGGTGAGTACTTTGTCCCCAGATCTTCAAAAACCGGGCTCTTAAATGATGCGACTCTGGCCACTCACTTGTGGCCTAACCAATGGAATCCATGGTCCCAAGGAGTCAATCGATCTTGTCCTCAGTTGGTGATACCACCCCCCCTGAGCACAGACGAAGGGGGTGGAATACCATTGTATGATTTGTCGTGATTATCCTGAGATTTGGGAAGGCACCGCAGATGATTTGAAGATCTCCCCGGGAGTATCTCGAGGGAGGGAGAGACATTATATAATGAGGTGTGATAATATTATTCCTAACCTCTCCACCTTTCCTGTAAGGAGATATATATATATATATATAAGTTCAGAATATTATCACATACGAACTGTGCAACCACCTGACTTACACCCTCCCCACCCACCGTAACTAGCTATCGATCCCGGACGTGCTTCTCATAGCTGCAGGGGTTTGAAAAGCCATTGCGGATGTAGATCAGATACATGTATGCTGTTTACTCAAGTTCAAGATGTGTTCTAAGAGCCTTCAATTGAGTACTCGCGTCCCCCTGCGCCCCCGCCCCACCATCCTCATTCTCTTTTTTTTTTTTTTCTTCTCTACCATGGGTAGCCCTATAAAATGACGGTATCATAAGCTTCCATTTCCACCCCTGCCCTCCTCACGAGAAACAAAAAAAATCTTTAGGGAAATATTCAGGAGTAATATATACCGAACCCAGAACATCTCTCCCTCTCTCTCTCCCAAGTTCCCACAAAAGCGTAGCTATTCCTCCGCCAGCCCACCCACCCGACCAAACCCTGCATTAGAGATACGCGCCCAGTATTCCAGTCATACCTCCTCTTTCTCACATTAGCATGTCACCACCATACCTGTCAGATTTCGGATCCGTAAACAGGAATAAGCGAGCGAGGACAAAGTCCCCCATGCACAGACAGCATCACCGCCGAATGCCAGGTGGAGTGTCACAAAGCACCCACCAACCATACATCCGGATCCCAAGATAAATCCATACACTCGGAAAGGGTCTCGTTAACCGAGTGACATCTCGTGACGGCATGCGTGAAGTGGGTCAATGACATTTAATCTATGATATAATTATTGTCGTTCAAGGACAGTATGAACCGAAAGAGAGAAAAAAAAAAAAAAAAAACTTTGACACACACACACATCCCAGGACCGCCCCTACCCACTCACTCTCAGAAGCCCGTGAAATAAAATAACCACAGGTTATGATAGCTCCCCAAGATCACAACGATCACTCGCATTTGGTCGTTTCCATGTTCCATCCCTCCATCCCTCCCACACACGTCGCGACCGGCGACCGAAAGCGGTGCATAACGATTAAACGCTGAAAGCCACCTCGCTGCACCTTGTCTTTGGTAAGATTGCAAGTGGCAATAACAACAACAACAATAACGATAATAATAACAATAACAATAACAACAAACAGGCAGGCAGGCAGGCAAACAAGCAAACAAACAAGAAGCCCCATGTAAGAGCAACCACAATGCGCAAAAGTCAAACGGCGTTAAGTTAATGGACAATTTTTTCATAGTACTGTACAGGCGTTGTCGCATGACCCCGTGACTGGATATATGTACTGTACGGTAGGTGGCTGCGAGGGAGGAGGAGGGGAGGAGGAGGGGGTGTCTGGTGCGTCATACATATGGTGGATAGATAGATAGGGTGCAGTAAGTTCAGCAGGTTGAGGATTTCTCGGTAGGAAATGGCTACGATATGAATGAATGGGAAAGAGTACGATGCTTCAATGCGGTACTGTACTGTACTCGTACCTTACCCTTCCGCACAATGCCGGCATTCATGGTGCTTGTTTACTGTGTCCACCTCGTGTTCGAGCGCTTGGGTAACCCCAAATCGATAATAATATATAGCAACGAAATGCGTATATCCAAAGCGTAGCACAGAGTACCGTACAAGTGTACGCGAGTCCGGACTGATTGGAATGGAATAGTCTACCAGCACAGTAGTATGATAGATGAACATATTCCAGGTAAATCTCTAAAAACCCACGAGCTACATACAGTACAAGTAACTGAACGATAAGGTAGCTCACCATCACAAGTTCGTAAGAAAACAGTAAGGGGGAAAGGGGGAAAGGGGATGGGGGCGGAGAATGAATGGATCGGGGTTTATTCCTGCCTGTTGTTTCCCCACCCCCCCCCCTTGCCCCGTTTATAATAGCTCGTCTGTCATTGTCCTCTCCTCCTCCTCCTCCTCTTCCCCCCTATGCAATGCACAGAGTAGAGTGGTGGTACAGTACATACTTGTAGCATCTACCTGTATCTCATGATTCCATTGGGTTATTTTTAATCTCGAGATTCGGTAAGAGGATGGAGCATTCTTTGCAAGGGTTGGCTGGATACCGAGGTGGAGGTAATCTGCTACTCGAGTAACTACCTGTTGTTGTCCCGGGATGGAAAAAGAATACCGATGTGATGTTTAGAAGCGGTTAAAGGTGAAAATGAGGACCACACTTCGCTCATACTATTTGCTCTTGCACCTACGAGTGCAAGTACAGTGCAGTACGGTACGGTACGAGTGCTCTCTATACAAGCCCGGCGAAACAAGACAAGTATGGCCCCCTAAGGATTCTATTCAACGAGATAGAGAGAAGTACTCGAGTACCGTACGGTACACCCCCAAACCCGGTCACCATCTTCACATTCTACTGTAGTCCCTCTTTTTTTTTCTTTTCTCGCCCTTTCTCTCCTTTTCCACCAATCTTAAATATTCCTTTCTCTCTATCTCTCTCTTCCTCTGCCGAAGAACAAAAAAAAGTGAGTAAGTGCAGGGGCCGACAGCGAAAGCGAAAACGAAACCAGAAGCTCAACAACCGTTTTTGGGAGAGGCACTTCTAAGTATATCTGCCGAAAAGCCCCCTTCACCCTCCTCACCTCCCCAACATGAAGAAAGAAGAGAGAAGAAAGGTACCGTCGGTACGGTACCTTCCTGCGTGATATGGGTTATCATACAAGTTACTACAAGTACCGGTAGTAAAAACTTACTCCACAGAGCCCGCCCCCTCCGCCACTACTCTTGTAAAGGTATCTCCCCAAAGTCCGGGGAATGCTTCATTCATTTTTTCTTTTTGGGAGGGAGAGGAGGAGGAGGGAGGGGGCTGCCAAATAATTTGATTTCTTCAGGGGGTGGAAAAAGAGATAAATCACAATTCCCAGCTACGGGTACCGCAGGTGGTTGTGCTACCGGTGACACTAAAACAGTACGGTACGGTTTCTGCAGCGGTACTGGTACGAGTATCATACTCGAGGGTGCCTCTCACGGTCTCACCAGATAGAACGGACCAGACCAGACCAGACCCATGGACTCGGAGCGGGGGGAGTGAACAGACGCGCGCTCGTCCAACTGACCAACCAAATAAGGGATTAACCCTGCGCAGATACTTGTAAGTTAGTTAGGTGCCGATGGATGGGTTGGGATGAGTGCGGGTGTGTGGGTGGTTCGTGAATTGGATACGAGTAGGGAGTGGAAGCGTGTGATCTTGGTGTAAGTTAAAGGTGGAGAAGCTATGATAACAGTAGCTTGCAATCTCTCCCCAGTGCCCATGATATCTAAAGGTCCCCTCTTCCTCTTCTTCCCCCGCATAACGATCCTTCCTGTCCCTCTACCACTATCAATAGCTACCCCAATTTACCTTAGCCCCTTCCCCCCGAGTCCAAACCCTCCAGAGCAAATCACCATACGGCACCCTTCAACGAGAGCAAAAAGTTATCGTAGAGATATAAATTTTAAAAATTAATCACCATCACCACCGGCATTCGACCCACCCAGCATCACCCAACCCCACAAGCCCCATGTAGCAAGAACCGAACAGTCACACTGCACCGCGGCCCGAGCGGACCAAATCCGTGCCTTTTGTCGAGCAAAAAAAAAAAAAAAACCCAAAAGAAAAATCAAAAATCGTACGACTATTAAATTTTTACCCATTTTGCTTTGTCAGAAGGGGGGGGGGCGGACCGTGGATGTTCCCGATTGAAAGCTCTAGCATGCTCGAAAACGGTAACGGACGGGCGGTCCGGGTCTTTTTTAAAGGAAATTTTTAACTGGGTCGCTTAGGCGGCTAATCGGATGGGAGTAAAGATTTAAAAGAAAAACCCGATAAAGGTGTCACCCGCGGCTAACTTATGTTTTTTGTCTAAACTGTGGCTACCGCAATCATGAGATCTGGTTCCGGGTTTGCGCTGGCTGGGTTTTGTTACCGTAGCCTTTCGTTGTCATGTCTGAGTTGTGATATCGACCGGTAGGGTTTATCATATTCGAAAGTTGTATGATACCGTATCATACTGTGCAGGACAATAGGTTGAACCAAAGCCAACGCCCGCCCGTAACACGTCCAGCTCCCCGCCCCCCCTCTCATCCCCGGCGAGCCCGCTTTTCGTTATGCGAGAAAAAATAAGGAAAAATAATAATTTAAGACTTATATCGACTTTACCTTACTCGCCATGTTCCTCATCGTACCGTATCTGATGGTTAACAGGACTTTGTCCCCGTGCTTCGCTTTCAAAGGGTCCCATTTTTTTTTGCGGCAGCGCACCCGTGCCGACGGTGAAACTACCTAAAGCGTTATCCACCAAAAAGGGATGATGTCACGGCCAGAGAGAGGCTGAAGCGGCTCAAGGTGTGCTGAACGGTAGGTGTGTAGAGTAAAATGTGATGTGATATGATATGATTGCTCGGAGAAGGCGTTCGGGAGGGAGGGGAATCTTATGGTCGTTTTGTTTGGGGTTTTGTTGATGAGAGCGGCGGTTGGATTGGTATGATTATCAAGGTAATTAGAGTGGTGTGTGTAAAGAGTGGTTGCCTGAGGGCTTGATTGATTGTGCTGAACGACACTAAAGTAACTGCATTCCCCGATCAACTGCTGAGTGCCTGTATGCCTGTCTATAACCATTTGATACCGGTAAGGTGGCCTATGAATGACTGAATGAACGGATTAGACCCTCCAGGCCAAGGTTTTTTGTTTTTATTTTTTTTTTTTTCCTTATTACGCATCGGCCTGTGGGGGGCCCGCTTCGACAGGGTACGGTAGGGTAGGGTAGGATATGGATATGGACATGGAGAGCGAAGTTTAACGTGCTTTATCATACAAGCGTTTTTATGCAATTGTCGGCAAGACTGCCGGGTGGGTAGGGATGTGTGTGCTTCTATCCTTACTCGGTCGATGGGTTGATGGGGTTGATTGATTGACTGACGGACTAGTGAAAATTGTGGGGAAGGAGAAAGAGAAGGCGTGGGGAAAGTGAGAAAGGAAGAAGGAAAAGAAAAGAAAGAAAAAAAGTTAATGCGCCTTTGGAATAAAGACCTCTCAAATTCAATTTTGACTCTTTGAGAGAAGTGAAGGCTGATATTATTGCCTTCCGGTTACTATTCTAACGAAGTTCGACATGTTCAAAACTCAACACGACGCAACAATTCACCAGTTTCAACCTATGATGGATCTACCAATATGGTTCCAAATCCCAAGATAAGCGTCTATCCTCCCCCCCCCCCCGGCCTATCACCGCAGAAATTGTGCTAGCATCCGTTTAGGGAGCTCCGTGGTTTCCGGCTCTTTTGAGAGGATGCTGATTCGAGCTCCAGGGAGCGACGGTTTTGCCTAAAGATTCACTTGCTTGGTGCTCAGAAGGGAAATGTTATTATTGATCCTATCATACGCATTATACGGATGGGGATACTGAATGCTGTCTGCCTGGCGGCGAAGAGCGGAGTTACTTTTTTTACTAGCTTGTTTGGGTAGCAGTTTCTGTGTTCCCTCCCCCCCGCTAGGTGCGGGTTTGGTGATGGGGATGTCTGATTTGGGTTCGGAGTTTGCTGTGAGAGAGCGGTGAGAGATTGTTTTCTTTTTTCTTCTTCTTTGTACTTGTAAATCTGTTTGAGGCGCCGTTCCCGCTCTTCCAGCGAGGTTGGGTGAGGAAGCAAAAAAAGAAAAAGGAAAGAGGGAAGTTATGGTTCTGTCTGTACTAGTACGGTAGGCCAAAATTCACAGGGCTTGGATCGGAATTACCTTATGGCACTTATTATGGCTTGTATCTATTCGAGTACAAGTACTTGTAGGTAGTCTACCGGTATTTGGATAGATGAGTCATGAAAACTTTGTGACTAATATTGAAATTCACCGAGGCGGACCCACCTGAAGGGTAAACTGGGACATTATGATAGCTAGACTACCGTAATTCGCAGTCTATCATGCCTGCCGCGGCGTTCTGGTCTTGTGGGCCCATTTCGGGGGTTGTGGAAAGAGTCTTGGCACCACGCGACTACCGTATCATAAATTACCTAACCATGGCTACTGGTACAGTACAGTGCTCGAGTACAGTGGACTATTTGGCAAAGCAATACAATGCTCCAACACATAGACTACTCGAGTATGGTACCGGTAGCCTGATGAGACGGAGCGCCGCGGATAATATTCCGGGCCATGCCATGGCCTTGAGAGCTGGGCATACGATTGCGGGTAGGGAATCCGGAAGGTGGCGGAAAAAAAAGAAAGGAAATCTGGGAAGGGAAAGCCAATCGAGGGGATTAAGTTGGCTTGGTTAGCTGTTGATCGAGGCCAGGAGAGAGAGGGAGGGAGGGGGTGAGAGTACGATGGAGAGAGAGTTTGGGAAGTCGAGGTAAGGTGAGGTGGGTTGATTAGAACGCAAGGGTTGGAACTCGAGACGACGTACGGTACCGTGTGATAGATATGTGTGGTAGGGTACTGTACTTGTATTTTGCCCGTTTCATGGTATGGCTGTACGAGTACATGTATGATACTGTACTCGAGTAGCTGTACCGCAGGCGATCTTTCAAGTATTCGGAATGGGGGGAAGGCAAGTGACCTGGTGATGAGGACCAATGCCTCCGCAGGTACCTAATTTTGTGGAAATACCAGTAACTCGCTCCTTGGGTCGGTAACTCACGTTCCAGTTCCTTTAAAATCGCCGAGTACTCGTACTCAAGCGCTCTGCAATGGCTCTCTGTACTAGCACAGCACTAGCACTTGTACCGGTACCGTACCGTACTCGAGTTATCAAATGTGCCACCCCGGCTTGCCCATCGTGGAAGTAATTAGCAACGCATGATAGTCGACTCGTGATCATGGTTCTGCTTGAAGAAGGATATCAAACTGTTGGACCGGAACAAGAAGAGCCTCAGAAGACAGTGAAGAGGAGGCTCTTGGTTAGTTACGGTGCCGTGCTCGAGTACTCTTTCCTGGTGATTCTAATTGTTGTCCACAGCCCTACTGTATCTTCCATCGCATCCCATCCCCATCCGGACATGGGGGTATGGGGATCATGAGGATCATGAGGATCATCGTAGGCACCCGGCCCATTTATTTAGAGTCATCCTTTACTTTTTTTTTCGTTCCTATCGCGCAAGTACTCTCTGTAGGCACTTTTTGTGTGGTTGGTTGGCCAGCTGTGGGAAGGTCTGGCCTCATCCTTTTTCACTCACCTCCCAATCCTTCCATCCTTTCCTCCCTCACTTGACTCTCCCCACCATCATCCTTCCCCCACACGGGCCATATTATGAGTAACCTAGCCTTACCCCAGGTGTGGAGTGGGCTTCCAAATTGCAAGCTGTACCGTATGGGTGGGAAAGAGAGAGTTCCCCTCCACAAACCCTTGAAGCAATAAGGAGCCAGCCAGTCTACAGCAGCCACCATTCCTACATAACCTTCCCCTTCGTTCATCGATTAGCCATAACCTACGGCGAGGAAGCTGGGGCTAGAGGAGATAGCGTAGGTATTCGAGTGAGGGGAGAGTGAGAACACTTAAGTGTGGAGGAAAACTGGAATGGAAGAAAGTGCCCCACTCCTTTCTAAGCACTCCTTCACACCGGCATATCATAGCACAGCAATGCTCGCGTACAATACAGCATAAAAGAAGGAAGGCAGGAGGAGTAAGATGCTTGCTTTCTTTGGTATGATACATGCAAAGTGCCCAAACAACTACACTGCTTTTACTTACAACCAACCGTCATCGCCCTATTCATACTTCTTGCGCATCAATCAGGCCAGTACTGTACTTGCTACCGGTATTTACTTGCTTGATTGCTGGCTGCCCACAAACAGCATACGCCCGCAGCCCGGCTATCTCTCTAACTGCCGTGAGCGTTTGTTATTTCGTTTTTTCTTTTCTTTTCTTTTCTTCATTTTCAGATTTGTATCCATTCCGGTTTGCCTGTTGCACCCGCTTCAAACGCGTTTTGTTTTCTTCTCTTGACCTCCTCTTCCTTCCCCTCCACCCCCCCGGCCCTTTTTCCTGGTTTGCCCTCCTCTATCCCAATTTCCAGATTTTCTCTTTTGTGGGGAGAAAAGAAAAGAAAAAACCTCTCTCCACCTAGTAGCCGAGTTGCCGCTCGGAGTTCTCACTGTATCATCCCGTTTAACTTCACCCTTGGTTCACTTGCCTTTCCGTCCATCTGTCGTTTCAATATAACCATAGGGAAGGAAAGAGAGGGGAGGAAGTGGAGCCCGGCAGCTTACGGGTTTCTGATTACAGCTTTGTCCTGTCGCTGCTCTTACAGTTCGGAAACTAAAGGATCCAATATCGGAAGTGTGGTAGTGGCACGGCGGCTAACTGAGATCAAGAGGCAGAAGGAAAGGAAGAAAGAAAAGGAATTAGGGAGAGTGAAGATTGAAAGAAGGAAAGCAGAGAGAGCAAGAGAAACGGAAAGACGGGAAAAGGGAAGAAAAGAAAAGAAAGAGTGGGCATACGGTACTGAATTCGAAAGCAAAAAGAAAGAGGTCAAATCAAGGTGGCAGAGTCACGCTCAGGGCACGATACCGCGAGCGAAGCCTGGAGAACACTGTTTTTTTGGAAACACACAAGACACGGGACATTGTTGCCAAACTTTGTGACGATATCGCTGCACCGATTCGCGCGATTGATCGATAATAAAGCTTCCGTGTTTCTCGACAATTAGATTCAAGGCAACGGAAGGATTTTCACCACTATCTCTAACCCATTGGGTTTCTTGAGCCTGCGACTCCTGCCTATCTCGATCGCTTCTCTTCCCCCTCATCACACAGGCGGCTCGAATAACGCAAAATATATAACCCACCATTCCGCAGTCTAATCCTCCAAAACTGCAGTTATCATAACTTATAGATCATCAATCCTAAGGCAGAGCACTTCCCGTCGACTATCTCCCCACCGTCCACCGTCGCCGAGATAAAAAAAAAAAAAAAGGATAGCGAGAGAAGGAGTTGACCGAAAAAGGGCACTCGAATACCGGTACAACAACTACTACTACAGTACGTTATTAGGGTTTACCTCAGGGGGCGCATACCCTGGCGAAAGGCGGAATTGGGTTGTTTAAAGGGTATTAAGCAGGAGTCAAGCCAGTATGACCACAGCCACGGGTACCGGTGCCTCATTCTGCCCTCCTCCCAAGAGACTAAGGCCAAGGTCACCGAAATCACCCCGAAGTCCTCCAAATACCCGACTGAACCAACACCCTCGAAATCCATCACCTCCGTCACCACTACAATCACGAAGTGTCCCCCCACACGGATCGACACCGAGCTCTCAGTCATTTCTGCTCTCGAGAACAAATTCTTTACCTTCGACCACTAAGCCCTTATCCGATCGACATATTTCGCTTCTTGACCTGGAGGACTTCGATCGAACCACTGGTCAACACCGCTCGGTAGAGGAGGATTTTTTTGGCCTCCATCCATTCACCGCTGGTTCCTTGGAAAGCGGCCACGAGCCTCCTTCACCGAGATCTTTTTATAGTGCGGCGACCGCGAGCTCAGCCAGCACAACAAAAGCCGGCGGAGGGCGATCATCGGAAGAGGAGCCTCCAATAACTCCCGTGCCCCCAACACATCTGCAGCAGCCACCTTCACTAAGACCAACTCGTAAGCTGAGGCGCCCGACGAGACCAAGCAGTCCCCCCAGCTCGTCGGGTTCTTCATTGGGTGATTGGGTCGCTTCCGGAAGTTTAAGAAGTCACGGAATTGGCTCCTTTGATAGCTATTCAAGCAGCCACCTATCGGGTCAGTCGCCGACATTAGGGCCTCAGCATGGTGAGCAGACGATTCTAAGGGATTTTGAAAATGTGCGTGTCTCGACCTTGCCGTCAGCGTCAGAGTATCTATATTTGTCCACTCCAGGGGGCAGTTTGATGCGTAGTAAGGAATTATTTGGAGTGCTAACCTTTGATCCATCATTACTTGTGCCGTAGATGTCACCGAACAATTCCATTCGCGATCTCTGCATTGCTGTGGTAGGGGCAAGGGGTGTGGGCAAGAGTACTTTTATTCAGAGGGCGTATGATCTGAAATCTCTGCCGAATGAAGATGCTGTTACTGCAAAGCTTATGACAGTTGAACGGTCACTATGTACTGTCAAACTGGTGGAGGTAAATCTGGCAAAACTTGATCTCGACTCTCAACAGTTGGTTTGGCCGCGGGTATGTTTTCTGTGACTTGCGCTCCCTGCCATGCCTAGCCACACATCCCTCGTCTTTCATTTGCTGGTCGCCCTTGGGAGTTTTCGCTGATTGAGGGTTAGGCGATGGACGGCCAGAGGCTCCCGTTCGTCGACGGGGTGCTTATCCTATACGACGTGACAAACCCGGCGAGCATTGCCAATTTGCCTGAATCTCTCGGTGAGTAACGGGTGTTCTCTATCCCTCGACGCTGGTTTCGTACGGTAGGTTCGCTCTCTCTTCTGTCCCTTTGCTGACCACGGGTTGGAGTAAATCAGATGCTTTCGCGAGGGCTGCGCTCCCGACACTGGTGGTCTCGTGCAAATGCGACGCACCGCAGCGACAGTTAAATCCTAACAGTATTGAACAGGTGGGTATAGTTGGCGGATATGATGCTATGCAGACTTCTAGTACCTCTCCAGACAGCCAGAAAAAATGCCTTGCCGTGATCTTGAGCATGATCGCGAGGAAAAATGGTTAGTCTAACCTGATTCGTTTCTTGTTCCTTTCCCTCCTTCTGGGCACCTGGTGCTTCATACACCTCCGATTACAGTTTACCCCTGTGCTTTCCTACCCAGCAGCTACTCTTTGCCTGTTTGCCTTGTGCAAACAGGTTTTCGCGGCAAAATAGGAGGTTCTTCAGGATGCAGTAAGGGGGCTGCCACGCTGCAAGATGCCCAGTTTGTTTCGGCTGGCGTACCACATTCCTTATCAGATACCCAAATTTTGGCCTTGTTTGTTGCGGGAAAGCCGAAATTCTAGAGAGCGCAGAACGAGCAGTTGCTTGCTGTTTCAATCGTCCCCCAATTTGTTTGTCTTGGCTGGGATGATACTTTTGTCTTTTACACTCAACCGCCGCATCGATGCGTTACTTTCCGTTCAATGCCAGCACACCCTCTCTCTCGCTTCTGGACAGCTGGGGATTAATGGGGTCTTTCACCCTAATAATTCTATCCCCTTATTTTTTTGTGTTCTTGTTGCTCTTCATACCGTGTTGCATATCATAGTCTCAACTAGTGGTTGTCTTTGTCTACTGAGCAAATGCTAACAACCAGTTGCGCTTATTCAGACAAGAGTCCACGAAATCTGAATGGTCGGCGGCGTGCAAATTCATCTGCGGCGAATAACAGTCGGACGACTTCACCAAGGCCTTCAACGGCTCGAAGTGGCCACAGTCGAGCGAGCTCAGAGTTCTCAACCGCCTATATGAAAGAGTATCCAGAAGTTTCAACCCAGAGCGCTCATGCTGCACAAGCTCGAATACCGAGATCACCCATCAGTTCGCCGCTAGGGGCATCAAGTATACACAACTCGTCTTCTTCATTACCAATGAGCAGCTTGTCCGCGGACACCCGAGGTCAGCGATTACCTGGTGGATCTGCCCCTCAAATAACGCTTTCGGCATCTTCTGGCCCGCTTCTGGAGGTTGTGTCTACTAGCCCTTTTAGTGTGCAGCAGCCACAAGGAGCCCGTACGCAGAATGGGAGCCCACTCGCCTACTCCCCATCGAATGATACGGATAAGGGTAGGAATTCTTTCTTGGATATGGATGATGAGAACGGTGGTCTGAAGGATGTGGATGATATACCGATACTGGAACGCGAGGGTAGAATCGAGGATTTTGAGGAGGAGAAAACGACGACGAGCAAAGGGTTTACATTTGACGAATTAGTGGACAGGCTGCTGCGACAACACATGTCCCGGGGAGATCAGGACTTTACGACGATCTTTTTATGCTTCTACAGGAAATTTGCGCCACCAAGGGACCTACTGAATGCCATTTTGGAAAAGTTTGATCGGTCAGTTTGCGACCAGATTTCTTTACACCGTATTTCAACCCAGCTGCGGTACTGCAATATCCTCCACCAATGGGTCTCAACCCATCCTGGGGATTTCGCCCACGTGAAGACACGCCAGCTGTTATTGAATTTCCTGGATGTGATATCCAGCAACCGGAGTCTGGCATTATTGGCGAGTGAGATGAGACAGGTGTTGGGACAGGGTGTCGAGGATGAAGACGGGGTGTGGGCAAGGTCGGATTCAGATACAGAAAGGAAGGATAGTCTGAGGAGTTTCTTGACCACTCACTCGGTAGCGGACAGCTTGGTAGAAGGGGAAGGGGGATACGTCAACATCAGGACAACGCCGGAAGGGAATCTCCAGGTTCCATCGGATAAAGAATCTGGTCTGCGAGCTTCGGAAGTGACGAGCAGTGCATCAGTTCGCACGTGCGATGCTATGTCTTCAGTGCACCAACCTTTGCTCCAGAAATCGGGGGATTCGGTGTTAGATGGAGCGTCGATGTGGAAGGAACAGTACGGGCTTTTTATGTCGATACCGGATGACGAAATCGCCACAGAGTTAACAAGGATCGACTGGTTGGAGTTTTCCAACATAAAGTGCAGGGACTTGGTGCGGCATGTTAGCATTCCTGCAGATCAGAAGGAAAAGTACCCAAGCCTGAGACATGTCAACCGAATGATCAGTCATTTTAACCATGTGGCGTACTGGGTGGCGAGAGTGATTTTGGAAAAGCCAAAAGCAAAGCACAGGGCTCGGGCTTTGGAGAAGTTTATGAATGTTGCTTGGGTGGGCATCCTTTAGATCGGTACTGGGTCATAATCGTGTTTATGCTAATAATAACGATCCACAGACACTGCGACACATGAATAACTACAATGCGCTCGGGGCTGTTATCGCCGGTATCAACGGCACAGCGGTTCACCGACTTAGCCTTACGAGGGAGCTCGTCAACCCGAACACGCACAGGCAGTTTATGAGGCTGGAGCTGCTGATGGGCACACATATGAGCCATAGCAAGTACCGCCTTGCATGGGACAATACCTCTACCGAGCGAATACCCTTTATTCCACTGCACCGGAGAGACTTAGTGTCCGCGGATGAGGGTAATAGGACATTCCTCGCGGACGGTGACAAGATCAACTGGAATAAATTCCAGGTGATGGGTGACGTACTCATGGTGCTGGTGAAGTCTCAAGCGACGCCTTACCGAGACTTGGCCCGCAATCATATTGTGGAGAAATTGATCACGGACGCGGTGGTGAGCATGGATGATGATGTGAGTTTTGTCTAAATTCCCCTCCCCCCCCCAATTGTGCTTTTTTTTTGCCTTGTGTTTTTTTTTCCACCGCAGGATGCGAGGTCCAGAGATCTTATACGGTGTCCGGCGTCATCAGATGTTGATTGGTTTCCAGGAATTGTATGAACGTAGCGTTCAGTTGGAGAATGTTGGTGGTGCGGAGAAGACAAGGAGGAGGATATGGTTTCAGCGGTGACGTTTGGGTAAATTAGGGGTATTTTTCCCCTTCCTCTTTTATCATTAATTTTGTATTTATATTGAGTTGTGGTTAAATATCTGGCACAGTTCGTTTCTCCGGTTCCTTCAGGATACATGCTTTTTTCGGCCGCTTCCACCTGGTCCTCGTTTTTCAATCCTCTTCCTCCCTCCGCACAACCAAGAGCAACGGATATATAAATTATCTCTTGTACTTGTATCCATCCACTTCACTGGCGAAATTGGCCTTTTGAGTCATTCATTTATTTTTTCCCATCTATCTGCCGTTTATTGGCTACGGTCTTCAAGCCTTTTCCCATGTGATATCGTTTTTCCCCCTCCCCCTCCCCCCTTATTTCACCTCTCTGGATGGGGCAAATAGGCAAACGAACGAGCAAATTGATCGGGCTTATTTAGTTATGTACATAACTTTTTTCCTTCCTTTCTCCTACATGTGTTTTTATATATATCTCAAGGTTATGCTGCACACCTTTTTATTTACACTTGTCTTTTTCGGTATCGGGATTGGGCCTTTTTCGTTTTATTTTATATTATTCGGGAAACATGTGTTTTTAGTTACCTTTTTTGGCTCGACTAGTTATGTTTTTGTTTGCAAGTTGTTTGACGTTTTGTTATCACTTTTTTATTGGCTGGCTGGCTGGCTGGCTGGGTGTTTTGGTGGGGCGGTACCTGATTGGAGTTCATTTTTATTTATTTTTATTAAATTTTGAGGGGTTTGAGATGGCTTTATTTTTATTTTATTTTCATATATTTAGTGAGTGATATTTGCTGTATAAGGGGGAGGATAAGAAGGTAAAGAAGCAAGAGGGAAAGAGTGTTTTTTGCAAGACTTTTTTGGATCACAGCATAACGTACTCGACGGGGAAGCTGGGCCATCTGCAACCACCAAAAATCCCGACATATGATGCAGGCAAATCGATTTTCTCAACTACTCCACAGTCGTGATGAGAGGAAGAATAGAACATGTGAAGCTTTAACGGGGCTCAAATAATTCATGCATGGGAAAAGGAAATTCTGAGATGGTTGTTTCCAGATCTGCCAAGTGGTTACGGTGGGTGGTACCGTACGAGGTACTGTACTCGTGCTCGTACAGTACATCTGAAGCCACCCACAAAATTTGCCATTTCTAAACAGCCCCTGCTCAGCAAGTTGCCTCAGAAGTCGAATATCTGGCAAATTATTCCCCCGTATTTCGAGGGTCCGTATCAAGCGGTAAAAGCTGTCGATTTATATGGTTGTAGTAGTTCAGTCCCGGGAACTCGACTTTACTCTTACCCCTTCGCCCGTGTCATTTGCCATCTCACTCCTACTATGATACCATTCCCATAGCTGATGGAAGGAAAAGGGGCCCCCTTGGAAGCTCAGAATACAAAGCCTCCCCCCTCTCTCACTCATCCACAGGACAGTGAATGGGCTGACTTTTAATATTTAGCAAAGTCTTTGCTCCAAGATTTGTATAATAATAACATTATTTTAATCTCCTCCTGCTGCAATTATTTATGGCTACCGTGCATAGCTACAGAGTCATCCATCGCTCAGAAGGGGCTTTGCTATTTATTGATTATATCATATCATATCATACATGCCATCACGATCTTTATTAATCTTTCAATTCTACCTATCTTGGAGAGAGAGAGACATGGCACTGTCGAGATATATACCGGTAAGCTATACGCAGGTCAAGATTTCTTTCTTTCTATTATTCTCCATGTGAATGACGGTCAAACTTGCCCGTCCGGTAATGTGCAGTATGATAGTTAAGAGTGGATGGGTTGGTTGGAGCCGGCAAGAAGTACTAGTAGTAGGAATGACGTGGGATAGATAAAATCCGTCTGGTTCATTCTTGCTGTTCGCTTTCGCATCTTGGCACTATATATACATCGTATCACGGGTTTTTCTTTCTGGAGAGCGTAGTACTAGCATTGTACGATAATATTATAGAGTGGGCTGGGGAGCTGTTCTCCGTATATGATGGTGATACTTGTATTGTAAAGTCCAGTACAGTACATCCAGGAGCGGCAGGTGGGCAACCTGTACCGATCTATATATATATATATAAATATATATAACCCACCTCCACTATCATCGTTGTTTAAGTCACTATCATGCCATTCACAAACTTTTTCTAGCTGGCTGGCCAGCAGTCAGCGTCTTTGGTTAATTGGGACTTCACCAAGACTTTTTTTTTTTTTTTTTTCCTTTCGATAAAAATGTGGGGAGGGGCACGCAAAGGGGGATAGTAATAATAATAATAATAATAATAATAATAATAATAGGATGCTTGCGGGAGTGGCATGGTGATGATAACTTTTGCGAGTACTTTACTGGGGGTAAAAAGAAGGAAAGAAAGAAAGAAAGAAAAAAGCGCAGTGCAAAACAAAAACGGGCGGAATTTCCGTTGTATGGAGAATGGGTGATAGTAATAATAATAATGTTTTCTAAACTTTTGAATCCTTTGCGGTTTGCGGGACGAGTGAGTCCCCAGTCACTCACTCGCTGACTACCTACTTTCGAGTGTAAGACAGTGCGTGCGTGCTATACAGCACATCTACATCCACCTTTTGTTCGCTGTGATACTGCGGGTGTTATACGAGCCGTCCGCCGTTCGGAAGTGCCCACTCATGCGCTACGATGGATCACCGTACCAATATCGTCGAAGGAGAACCCCCCCCCCCGGGGACGAAGACAGATTTGCCGGATGGAGCCCGCTCTAAATTTCGAGAACCAGATCGGCCGATGGGATGGCTAGGTGAATCGCTGCGGTAACCCACCCGAGACGAAATATACCACCACCACACCACCACCCATCGTATAAACCTTGAATAGTGAAGGAAAAACTTGGCATTGTGCAGTACAGTAGTTACCTCCCACGCATAGGTATATTTGTCGGTATCTGCTTGGGTTGTGTTGGGCTGTTGGGACGTCCATAGCAGGGATTTGTGTCGACGTGGGAATCGTGGTTCCTGTTCTTGTTTCGTGGGGGGGCTCCCTCGTGTCGGTTTTCCGAAGGGAAGGTGTGACGGACGTTACTGGGAGGGGCAACTCCGACGGCCTGACGTGGGGATTGATTATTCTGGTTGAGGTGGGGCATTATAGCCCTGTCTATTGCCAACCTGCGGGGCTTCTCATTTCTGTTTTGGTGGTAGTGGTGGGGTTTGTGGGCTGTAGTGGTAGTGGTGGGTGATTGTGACTGAGAGGGAGAGGAGCTATGCGTTGTGTAGATTCGCGGTTTGGAGATCTGGCAGGAGGTGAAGGAAAGGACGTATCATACTTGGGTGGGCCTGGGTTGGTATCATAGGTGTTTGCTTGACCTATTGTGTAATGATATTATTATACACGTATTTAGAGTGTGGTATAATAATTATCATCCTCCCACTCTCTTCTGACCCTATACGTTCCTTCCCATGCGCGAAGCGCACAGCCCCTCACTCGGCGCTGGCCGAGTGAGGGGCTGTGAACCTCGCGTCTCGTTGTTCCGATAGGCGGACCCTTATTCGTTTTGCGGCACTTACAGATACTGACTGCCATTACTTAACTAGAAAGTAGCGGGGAAAAAAAGGAGAAAAAAAATAGATAAAACCCATGAAGAAATGTGAATCCGTTGACAGACTAAGGAACCCATAATGAAAACCCCCAAATGGACTCGCAAGCCTTAACCTAAATGGAAACGAAAAATTCCTTCTCCCCGTCTTGTGGTTGCACATGACTCCTCGTAATTATCTCATCGGCGCAGGAGAGCCTTATCCTCTCAGGTGTTGCAGGAGAACGCAGTCTCAGACATTCTGTGACCCCGTGGTCTGCACGCGCAGACTTTAAGGCGTCTCTGATAGCGAAGAATACGGAGCTTCCCATGAAGAGTGGGGGTTCACCGACTCCCTATAGTATTGCATTAGCCTTACAATGGCAACGGTAGTGGGGATGGAATGGAATGGTTGGTTTGTTGAATTACCTTGCTTCGCTGAATAGTGTTCAGATTCTTCCACTGAGCATCTTTCAACATGCTAACGTTGAAGACCTGCGGGATGTCTCTGAAGCCGGGGATCTTGTATGCACCTGGACCCCTCGTCGCTAGTTGGCCATTGTTGAACCATAACGACTCTTCCGTAGTGAAGAGGCCCTGACCTTGTACGAATGCGCCCTCAATCTGGCCGTAGTCGATAGCAGGGTTGATGCTCCGACCAATGTCCATTTTAACGTCTGCCCTCAGACACGTCCAGTCTCCGGTAAGCGTATCAACTTCAACCTCTGCGATGGCAGCGCCTTGAGTAAAGTAGAAGTACATCAAGCCAGTATTCTTCCCCCAGGTGTATCCAATATCAGGAGTCTTGTAGTATCCGTTTGCGCTCAAATTCACACGGTCAAAGTAAGCTGCATGCGCAAGTTGCTTCATAGTAGCGTCTGGACCAAGATTTTCTCGGTAGGGTTCGAGCCTCTCGTTAAGCTGTTGGCAGGCGTTCCAGATAGCGTATCCGTTCAAATCGCTGGATGCTGATGCGGCGGTAGCTGATGCGTTTGCTACAGTATTTGTGGCGGTTTCCGATATTAGGACGTCTTCCAGCGGAACACCAAGTGCTTCTGCAGCTACCATGGTCATCTTTGTGTGTAAGCCCTGACCCATCTCAGTTCCACCGTGGGCTACAAGGACAGAGCCGTCGTGGTAGATGTGCACAAGGGCACCAGCCTGATTGAGGAATAATGCGGTAAAAGAGATACCAAACTTAGTCGGGATTAATGAAAGCCCTCGTTTCCTCCATTTGTGGGTCTTATTGAACTCATCGACTATAATCACGTCAGCTCATTACTAGGACCGTTGGCCATGGAAACCCACCCGCTTCCCGGCGCTTTTCATATTCGGCCTCCTTTTTGACAGCGTTGACGAGTGATGGGACATGCCAATCTTTCAGCGCTTGATTGAAATGCGTTTCATCCCCTTCCTTGTACATATTGACCTCCCGGAGCTTATCCACTGGTATTCCAATCTTATCTGCGATCTCCTCCATGTAAGATTCACAAATGAACATTCCTTGTGGCCCTCCAAAACCTCTGAAAGCCGTATTAGACATAGTGTTCGTCTTGCAAACTCTTCCCCGAACATCAATATTCGGAATCATATAGCAGTTATCGATGTGGGTAAGGGATCTGTCGCAAACAGCAGCAGAAAGGTCCTGGGTCCAACCACCATTACAGAAAATGTCTGCGTCAAGGGCAACGATCTTTCCGTCTTTATTGACGCCCACTTTCCATCGACCGAGGAAAGGATGTCTTTGTCCGGAAATTATCATATCCTCATCTCTGTTCAGCATGCATCGCACCGGCCTCTTGAGCTTCTTTGCGGCGATGGCACAGATACAGGCCAACTGAACCGATCTCGTCTCTTTGCCACCAAAGGCACCCCCGAGACGTTTCACCCTTGCAACAACTCTGTTCGCAGGTACGTTGCAAACCTGAGCAACGTATGTTTGCGTTTCCGTGGGATTCTGCGTGCTGCTGAAGACCTCAATTTCGCCATCTTCGGGTTTGGGAATCACGAGGACAGCATTCGTCTCGAGGTAAAAGTGCTCCTGACCGCCCATTTTAGCCACACCTTCAATGACGTGATCCGCCCTTCTCATAGCCTCTTCAATAGAGTCTCCCTTGCGGATGTAAGGGTAATGTTGAAAAAAGCTCTCCTTTTCGATCGCTTCTTCTGTGGTCAAGATAGCGGGTAACTCCTCATATTTTACGGAAACAGCCCTAGCACCAAGGGTCGCTGCCAGTTGTGTATCTGCTAAGACGATACCGATCGGCTGTCCGGCGGTAAATACCTCATCAACGGCAAAGAAGACCTCATCGCAGACAGGTGCCCCCCATCTGTTTGCCTCTGGAGAGTGCATGTCTCGGTGATCGACATAGGCCCGCACCCCAGGAATCCTCAATGCAGGCTCGCTGCTCACACCAAGAATCTTGGCATGGGCCTTTGTGCTTAATACCAAGCATCCGTAAAGCTCGTTGTGGTGCTTAGGTATGTCGTCCGTGTATTGAGCTTCGCCGGTAGCCTGTTTCATGGACGCAACGTGGGGTACTCCCTTCCCTAATACCCGCTGTTCATATGAAATTGTGCTATCTTGATCCCTTTCTCCAGTTGAGACTTCTCTTTTAATCTCATCCACCAACTCTGCCGAAACCCCCCCTTCAAGGGCTCCCACGACCTCGTGCCAGAACCTATAAAAGAATCCGAATGCCAATGACCTTCGGTAAGTGGCCATACCACCAGGCACTCCAAATTTTAAATTGAAATCCTGTTCCAGGGCATTCACAGCCCCTTCTAATGTCTCTTTGGCGCCCCACTGCTTCCCCAGCAGGTATTTCATCGTATTATGAGCCTGTACTGTTGTCGGTGCCATTCCACCGTATACCAGGTTTGTTGATTCAACCATACCATCATCGTCGAGTGAAACTCTGAGAGCGGCATTGACGATAGCGATATCGTCATCTTTCCTCTTTGCTTGCTTATAAGCCCTTATAAACTCGCCCTTTTCTCTCGCAATGGGTACTAGAATACTCGAGATTACTGCGCTCGGTGGAAGCGTAGTTGTTCGGTAGCCCTTGAAGAAGTCAACCATTGGGATCTCGATCTCACCGCCTTCGAGAGTGCGTGCGGTAAGTACGCTCTGAGTAGCCACGAATACTGGATTTAAGTCCGATATGGGCGATGCCGTGGCGAGATTCCCGGCTGGCGTTCCAACGTTTCTGATTTGACGGCCGGCAAAGTATTCTAGTTGCTTAAGCATTGCAACCAGAGGCTGTGATTTCTGAGGCCCGTATTTCTTAATGCCTTCTCGAAGCACCCCTTCGAGATCTGTAAGGGTGATGTTCGCCCCGATAACTAGATGGTAGTCTTTGAACGAGTAACCCCGTAGTTCGGGGATGTCTCCTACATATACCGAGACATCGTATTGCATCGCCTTGAACTTAACCTCAATCTGTGTCTCCGTCGAGCCGCCGATCACCTTTGCAGAAGGCAGGGCCTTCTTTATTTCCAACAGCTCTTTCAATGTCGATGGCCGGAGCCATGTCTTTCGTTTATCGCCAAAAGCTAAGCCCCTGAATACATGCTTCCGAAGTGCTGGCGGGAATATAAGCTCTGTATCCGGTTTACGTTCAATAAACCCTGGCGGTGCGAATTTCTTCACAGGATCAGCATCCCCATCTGCCGTAGACCTATTCTTACAGCAGCCCACAGGAGCTTCTCCATCGTCATTTTGCATGCAGCAGCCACTGCTGCTGGCCGCTCTCGCACAGCCAGCCGCAGAACTGAATGTCTGAGCAGCGTCCAATATCGGCCTGTAGCCAGTACACCGACAAAGATTTCCATCGAATGCCTCCTCTATGTCGTGTTTGGTTGGGTTAGGGTTGTTCCTTAAGAGGGCATACAAGCTCTGCCCATCACCAGCATCAGCGCTGCCCAAATCGGAGCGAGGCAGAAGAAGCGACAAACCATGACAATTCCAGGCGTACAGAATCCACACTGCGACCCATGCCATTTTGCAATCCTTTCCTGAGCCGGATGCGGTTTGTTCACGTCCCCGATGCCCTCTACAGTGATAACGTGCTTTCCATCAACGCTCACTAGTGGTGCTAAACAAGCGTTTACCGAAGCGTGGTAGATCTTTTCCGTGATAGGGTTATATTTCGAGACGACCTATCGCTGGGGCTCAGCTCCAACAGCTTTCTAGAGGTGGATAAGGGGGCGAAGGGAAGCTTACGACAGTACAAGCACCACAACCCCCCTCGGCACAGCCAAGCTTGGTCCCGGTGAGTCCAATGCCGCGCAAGTACTCCAGAAGCGTAACTTCGGGGTCAATGTTATTAATAGTCACTTTTGCCCCGTTCAGGTAGAACCTCAGCGTATCATCCCACCCAGAGACCACACTGTCGAGACTATGGGGGTCGTCACTGGGCACAACTGGCTTTGGCGTTGTAAGTATTCCGGGTGCCATTGCAGACCGTTATAGCCCCCCTCACTGAAGAGAAAATAGGAAGGAATGGGGTTGCGAATGAGCTGAGGGGGTGAGGTAAGTTTGATTGAGCGGCAGTTATATAATGTAGAATCGGCTCGTTGTGGCAAAGGGTCCAATTTGCTTATCGATAAGAGTAGTGTGCCCCGCACGGATTGTATAAAGTGCACTCCAATAGAATAGGCCTACAGTGCCTTTTGCAAGCGGTGGAGGAGTCACTTAGCAAACCCTCCCCCGGTACTATATATTCGAATGATTGGAATGGGGAAGCGGGGGGGTGGGTAGAAGGATGAGATGTGTGGAGGGGGAGAGGTATGATAGGGAGGGAGGAGACGAGTAGGAAAGGGAAAGGGAAAGGGAAAAGCGACCGACCGATTAGAAGTGATACCCGACTGCCCCACACCGGTGTCAGTGTCTCGGCTTTACTATTGGGAGCGATGATCATAGGATAAGACAATTTTGGTGATATGCTTTTCTTTTCCCTTCTCGCCCAATTTGCACCTTCCACTTCGGAGCCTCACGCAATTGGCTTAGGTTGGGAATCTGCAACAGGAAGGCACCCAAGCGGTGTATTGGCACAGCACAGCGGGGATTTATGATAGGACAATTTTTGGGCGAAGATGCCGGAAAGCTGTAAAAACCTACGGTACCATTAAGTTACAGACTTTTTTTTTCCAACTTCTATGCAGGCACCATACCACCACTGTCTACCACCCCTGGGGACCTCCCCCTTCCTATCGTAGTTCCTACGTACCCCTCACCCCGACCTGACGGCCAACACCGCACCGGCGGCGGACAGCCCCTCGCCTCATTTCCTCCCATCCCCGGAGGCGGCCGAGGGGAGATTCATGAAATCTCCATACAACGGAGGACAAGCGTTACAACCCCCCCCTCAATGCTCAACTGGCCCAGATTCCAATTCTTGTATCACATTATCTACTGTGTTTAGATCCCACCCCCTCTTCCTTTTTTTTTTTACCCCTTTGTATCATTCGGGAAGCTCGTCTATCTTTTTAAACCCAAATCCTCGATCCATCAGGTCCATTTCGTAGGCTGTACTACCTAGATCGTTGATTCTCGGATAAATACCAAATCACAAAGTGAACTATGATCCTTCGGAAACTCGGAGAAAAGAAAAAAGGTTCGGGTAGGGAGGCACGGGTGGGCAGAGTTTTCTCTTTCTATCACGGGTGCCAATTCTGGGTTTAGACTTCGTGGCGGGGGGTGGATAGATATTCCTAGATACTGGTACTCGAGTATATGAATAGACACGGGAGAAGGGAGAAGTCTTTAATTCTGTTTCACGCTTGTAATGGAATTGTGTGTTTTTCATAATTGTCAACTCTCTCTCCTTCCTCTCCCAATAACCAATCCCACACTTAAGCTTCCTGCACTACATAGCCTCTACGAGTATCATCAAACCCGCCCCATGCCTCCTTCACCACCTCTAACACCATAAGACCCCTTTCGGCCAGTTTCCCCTCGTTTGGCCCATATACTCGAGTACTTCCGGTAGCTGCCCTACTCTCAACACTTCCAGTATCCATCCGATTCTCTTCTAGATTCAGGATGGCCACATGTGTCTCCGCCCACAGTGCTTACCCTTCGCCGGTCTCCAAAAGCGACACAAAACTTCCCACACCACCACCAAAGAGAACGAGAAAGAGAGGGGAAAGATGGCATTAGATTAACATACAATAGAGGTCCGGAATTAGTGTTTTTTCATCCTGTGTCCTGTCTCACAAACGGTACCGGTACTCAACCTACCTATCGGTACCATCCATGTCTCGCTGATGACATATGCCAAGAGAAGGTGGGGAAAGAAGAAAGAAGGGAAAGAAAGAAAGGACACATCAGCTATCCCTACCAAGTTCAGCCATAGGTACTCGTACCGGTACTGTGAGGAGGTGGTGGATGGAGGGGTAGGTTTGAGGCGAATAGAGACCAGAGGGTAAAAATACAGTATAGTAGGAAAGGGCATAACTCTACCTCATACCATATTGATTTTTCCACTGGCGATTTGTGGTTACCATCACCTCATCGGAATAACTAGGATTGGGTGAAGGAGGGAAGGAGGGAAGCAGGGAGGGGCGCTGGTGGGAAGGTAAAAAGTTATGAATAAAAGGAATCCCAATGTAACTTAACAACCTTACACATAGTGCGATATTGTGCGAGTGGAAATATATATATATTTTTAAAAAGCTGCCGTTATTACTATTTGTGCTGATAAATGAGGGAGAAATACCTGTATCGCAAGCAGATTCCGGTATTCTCGTTTGAAGATTTTTATTTTTATTGTCTTCCCCGCTGGTTTCATGAATCAAACACATACCGCAAGGCGTGATACAGGGCAGGACATGTCATGTAAACACACACATGGTTTTGGGGGTGCTTCTTTTATTTAGATGAAGTGTGTTCCCCCTCTCAAGGGCCACTGGTAAAACATTTCTGGCTCGCTCCAGATCCGGCCAATGGAAGATCGGTCGCCCTCTAAGACAGTAGGGAGAGGGTGTGTATATGTGGGAGAGCGAGAGAGGAAGGCAGAGGTTCAGGTTGCGCCGAGGGAGGGTTCAGGAATGAGTAATCACATTACAAGCAATGGGGCAGAAGAGAAAAGAGACAACTGATTTTAAGAAAAGGGGTGAATAATTAAGAAGAGAGGAGGAAACCAAAGGCCTGCTTTAACGAACAATGGTGGAGAAAATGCTCAATGCGAAGAGAAGAGTCCAGTAAACCCATAAAAGAAAAAAAAACACCTATTTGGGAACGGCAGGATGATAAGCACTCAAGGGGAGAGAGAGAGAAAGGAAGGAAAACAGACAGCACAAGCGCGGCCTACTTGAACAAAGAATGTAACCCAATTCCCAGCAATCCACAAACGATACTGAACCCCCCCTGCAGCCTTGAGAGTCCCCATGTGCTACCTATCAAAGCCCAGCCGATCCTCGTATGTCTCATCGACTATATACTTTAAACCCAGGAGAGAAAATTGGAAAACTCATGGTTGGAAATTTTTGAGGGGATCCTCGTAGTATCTGGTGAAGTAAACACGAACACGTGTGTACTCCTTCTCCATCTCACCAAGCGCAGACTTAATTCTTGCTAGGTTCAACTCACTGTCATCAATGCTGGCATTGCCAGTCTCGTCCCGACCTGAACCAAGGTTTTGAATCTTCTCGCAATGGTCCTTGACCTTTGTAAGCCCGAGGGTGGCGGAGGAACCCTTAAGGAAATGACCAAGTTGCGAGAGTTCATGAAGGTCTTTCTGGTTGCTAAAGTGGGGAATATGTGTCTATGTTAGCGATGGTGAATATTGATAGACCTTGTCTCACAGGAGTGTTAAGGGTTGACAAAGACGTACAGATGATCCCTCATCTTCTTGAACGTCTCCTCTGCCTGTTCCATGAACCCAAAAACAATTGTTCTGCTAAACTCATGGTCTTCGTCGTCGTCCATCTCTAGAATTTGCTCGAAGGTGCTGAGGTCGATAAAGTCTGGGTCGACATTGCTATCGGGCCGTGCCCGTTCGGACTGGTACTACTAACGGTATCAGTAAAACCACGATACTTGATGGTAAACAATAAGATAGTACGCTAGGACCAACGCTTTCGCTCTCCGCAACCGCAGCGGTTTCCTTTGTAGTTGTGGTGCCGGTATCTTTAGATGGCATTTTGAGTGAGATCGGAAAAACAAAAAGCAACAGGGTAGGTCGAAGCGAGCGGTTGGGATTTATTTTTTGGTGAGTCTGTGTTGTTGCCCTCCACGGATGGGAGAAGGACGACAGAAGGGCGGGAAGTTCGGAAGGATGGTGAGGGGTGGGTTAGAAGAGGGGTGGGGGGAGGTGGGGTCCTGCAGACGTAGAAACTGAAGGATGGAAAAAGGAAGCAAAGCGAGAAAGAAGTTGAAGGGCAAGGAAAGTTGAAATAAGGCAGCGGCAGTAGGGCAGGCCAAGTAGGTCAAGTTTCGCGGTTGTCAGAGGGTGGTGGGCATGTACGAGTATGTGCGGCCAAGCGGGAGTACCGGTAAGTGGAGAGAGGTGTAGACAAAGGAGGGGAGTAATGAATGGCGGGGAGCAGAAACCAAACGAAACCAAAGGAGACGTTACAAATTGCTCTTTCTTGATCGATCTCCCTCGGATTTTTTGAGGGGAGATGGAGGAAGTGTGATTTAGGGCGATACGGTGGCCAAGGTTTGCACAGCAATGTTATTGCCTACTACGCAGTATGATAGGTACAATACCGGTACGCCGTGGTGTGTGAGGAGTGGCAGGTTATGTACAGTGCAGTACTTGCTGTAGGAAAAGAGAAGAAGCAAGTAGGGCAAGACGGGCGCAGGGTGGACGGGGAGCGGGCGGCAGCACGGGATAAAACGAGACAGCCTCAACCCAACGACGAAGAGGACAAGCAACAGAAGCGATAGCGGGAGTGGTGGGGTGGTGGGACCGGGAGGGGGATAAGAGTGGATGTGTGAGAGCAGAGGGGAGTTGAAGCGGGGAGGACAACAGCGGGGACTCCTGCAGCTAACTTGACCCCAGCCTATTTTCCACTTGGGTTGTGGTGGGCGCGTGCCTCAGAAGGGTCTAGCTCTGATGCCACCGGCACAAGACGAGCCCAGAGTTGAGAACCGGACACTGAATTGGACGGGCAGGGTACGGCTGGCTGGGGCTGGGGGGAAACCTCTACGAGTACGAGGACTCCAGTAAGTCTCTCCTGCCGTGATGTGGATATCAGCACGGTTAAAAGGACGGAGCACATACAATTAGTATCCCATTTACTTTTCCGACTGTCGACCTTTTTCACTGCGCTCGGGCACGGCACCGTAGAGCGTAGTACAGCACCGCGTGGTAGGGTCCGTGGCTGCTACTTGAGTGCATATTTTTCGCCTCGGAAGTCAGGATCAAGTTATGTTGTCGTTCTCGCCGTCGCCGTTAAAACTGTATCATAAGTGATTTGGCTGATACCGGTCAGGCACAGAAGACATTTCCACCCTCAGTACCTCTTGGATGTACAGTACACTACCGGTGATGTGTGTTACTTGTACAATACGGTACATACATACCCGATAGCCGGGTTCAAGTTCAGACCTGCACTGAGTGGATTCAGCATCGAGCACCGGTATTTCCGTATCACACCCCATCCTCACTGCTCGAGCGGTTAAGGGGATCACTGGGTCATTGCCATGACCAACCAAGTGAAGCCTTCCTTCCTTCACTGAATCTATCCTTCCGCTCTAGCGATACAGTACCCAAGCACAGCTCAGTGGTTGCCGTCAAGGCTATGGTTCCAGTCGCAATAAACCTGTACCTGCGGCCATTGTTTGGTTTGATTATCAAGCAAACTCTTGGCATTTTTGCTCATTTATTTTTCCCGGTTTTGCGGGCACTTCAGGGTTTCTTGGGATGTCTCTCCCCTGCAGGCTCAGAAATTCATCTTTGATGACAAAAGTGCACTAACCATGTCTAAATAAAGTAGATAATTTAGCCATATTTGGAATAGTGTGATGTCTCACCCTCCGAAAAATGGTATGCCTTGGCCTGCTTCCGTCCACAATTTTACCGGTTGCCATCAGAATGCCAGTACGAGTACTTGAGGCTCCCAGAGATCATGCCAGTGGTGTTTCCAGTTCATATTTCCATAAATTAAAAAATCATAGATCGGCGCAGCAGATATCTACAGTAGCCACATTCCTATCATTCTAAAATCAGATAGACCTTCTTGTTGGTAGAAAACATACAGCGTGAAACCAGACAATTAGACTACTTTTCCATGCCATGAGCTGGTTTACCGCGACCGGAACCATAAACGAGCCATGATTGGTGCTCCATCGAAACCTTGTGAGATTGGTGCACGGACAGCGATGCTTGCGTCATATCAGGCCCCTATCCCAGTTTAGGGTTCATCGGATGACGTTGAGATTTTGAAAGGAACAAAGCTTCTCCACAACCAAAACCTCGGCCGGAGGAAGAATGATGATGAAAGAGCATCAAAGTTCACCAGTAACAAAGAGCGGAATAACTTTCCCACAAAAGCCTATCTCCCTAAACTGTATGCGATGAGGTTTAATGTATTTATAGAATGTGCTTGCACTTGGATCCCGTGGTGGTGGTGGTGGTGTGTTGTCCCCCCGTACTGGGGGGCCTTTTGCCGCCCACGATTCATTCGTGCCACACGGTATGATACTCGCACGTCTTTGCCAAGAATATTTGTACCATAATATCATACTTCCACCCGCCTCAGGCTCGGCACTTTTGAGGTTCAGTCCGCATTACAGGACATCAACAACCCCTACTTGGACACTAAAATGCACCCAAATTTGCTGCCTGTGTAAAATTACATGTGCATGGTGAATCTCAATATACGAGCAACTTACCTTAAAATCTCGTATAATTGGCTATCTCTGGAGCAGGGGTTAATCTCCGGTCCACCCACAATAAGTTTAGTTTGACAGGTTACCAGAATTGCAAATGCCAGTTAATAAGATCCAACACACTCGGCGTGCTCATCTTTACCGTGTGAGGAAACATTAATCCTTCTTGAGAGTCTTCGTCTTTGAGCAAGGAGATTAGCCCCTGCTCCGGGAATAACCAATTAAGCGAGATTTTGCCGTAGAGCTAGACATATTTTTCCCACCATTTTCGTGTCAATAATCCACACTTACTCGAGTAGACGAGCTTCGGCAGTACCTATCAAGAGCCTCCTCGCAATATCGCCACTGGTTGTTTCTGTCATTTGCAATGGATTTTACCTCGAAAGCGCCAAGCCATTGGAGAGCAGAGGTATCCTTGACAAGACGCGGGAGTGCTTTGTACGGGTACGAGTACTGTACCCGAGTGGACCACAGTACAGGGGGTGGAAAAGAGTAATGCGACACTCGTACAACACAAATCTCAGTACATCAACATTCTCGACAACGTATAGTATTGTGCGTGGACAAAATTAACCGCGATTCAACAGAGGAAAATCTTCGGCGATAACAACCACACTCACCCACTAATCCACTATCATGAAAACAAAAAAAAAATTTAAAAGATGTAAATACATAGTAGAAATTAATATTTGGTATACCATCCATCAGCCTTAATAATTGCCTCTATTCTATCCACCATTGATCCAGCTAAAGTATCAAAAACCTTTGGGTCAAGAAGTTCCCAACAATGAGTAATGGCCTCTACTATTGCCTTGACCACATTAACATCACCTTTCATAAGATATAGCTCAGGGTAGTGCTTGTAAAGCTTACCTTTCACCAGAGACCAAATATTTTCAATTGGATTGAAATCTGGTAAATAGGCAGGAATTTCCATCAGTGTAATTCCCTGCCCTCTGAGCCATCTCCTAAAAGGCAAGTGAGTCTTAGCATTGTCAATAATAAAAAATACCTCTTCTTCTCTAGCCTTTTCTCTGATATTCTCCCATATTCCTAGAAAGTCATAATGATTACAAACATCAATAATTGACTTCCCAGTAACTCTACTCCTAGCAGAAGAAGGATCAGGAAAAACAGGCAAAAAAAGACCATAAGTTTGACTATAAAAACAACCAGTCATCATCTGGCTAATTCCTCTCTCCCCTCTCCTAGCCTTAGTTTCAATACAATCCTTATTCCATTTCTCATATAGGTATCTGAAAACACATTTTCTCCTCTTTCCTCCCCCCCTTTCCACAGCTACCTCATCCCTCCACATTGTCTTTCTTCTCCACATCTCCTTTGTCTAATGCCTATAAGCTAATACCCATTGCATCTCTCTTGAGCTAGATCTTCATCCAAATGAACTCTCTCTTGTACCATCCACTTTCTAAGATGCTTTTATTCAAGTCTTCTCCTTACTGTCCTACTAGAAACATTGGGGGCAGCTTGCTCAGCAATGTCAGAATAGGTAGTATAGTGATTTTTAAGAGCTTCCTCTACCATAGCATCATCCTGTGATTTGGTAGTTTTAGGATATCTTCCTCTACCCTTATTCTCCTTGCCCTCTTGATGTCCCTTTGCAATTGTGTCTCTGACAGTAGTGTAGGTGATATTAAGGTAGTGGGAAATTTGATGATATATCTCATCTGAGGCTCATGTAACCTGAGAATCCTCCTCCTGGTAAACTCAGAGAGATGTGTGGAGGAAATAGGTTTTTTGGCATGACTGTGAAGAATAGGAGGCATAGTTTATTGAAAAAAAGAATTGAGCAGAATGGTTTCTTCTTGGTTGACTTAGAGTAATTTTTTTAGGTACTGTTGAGAGTACGGGGTGATGAAGAGGGGTGGGTTGCCACCGATTGTTGAATCGCAGTTAATTTTGTTAACACACAATACTACCTCATTCCACAACAACATTTAATAAATAAAATAACTAAAGGAGATAAAATAAAATAGTCCTTAGTATTTCTTTGAAGTAAAATAAAAAGAAATCCCTAAATCAATAATGAGTTTGGTACCCTGTTCTTCTGATAATATTAGGTAGAGACAACTCGATAGACTTTAGAGTTGTCTAAGCCAAGTAAGATTTGTTTCTGTAGAGGGAGATTGTCTAGGAAGGCTCGTATTGTATTCGTTTCATTAATGACTACTAAGAGTGAAGTAAAGTAGGTAAAGTAGAATAGATTTGTAAAGACAATATTATATTATTAAGATCTCTTCTCAGTTACTTGAGAATGTCTAAAAGCTTAGGAGGCATTTCAATATTTATATTCTATGTCTGAGTGTTCGTGGACTACATCTATCTATTATATAACTTTGTACCTCTTCTGATTATAACTTGCAATATTGGGTATTTTTCAAGGTGCCAACATCTGGAGACCCTAAAAATCATCATATTCTTATCGGTAATTACGATATAGCTAATTGGAAATCATGTTGTTCCCAATAGTAATTATCTGATTGTCAAAGTCTTTAGACTTATGGACTAGTTTTCAAGTCACACTGAGTTGGCCTCAATTTTTTCTGTTATTGATGAAATGATTAGTTTCATCTGCAGGTTGTATCTATGAGGGTAGTTGTAATTGCAACCTTCTTAGGTCACCTGACTTCAAACCCCCATAACTCCATATTCAACCAAAAGATATCTTCTGAAAGACTTCCTACTAATTCGCAGGAAGCTATTCTACTGGATTGATTGATAATCCTTCGGTCGGCAACCTTTGGATACTTTGGGTGCTAGAGTTTCAATCACTGTTTTAGTATTGAGAATTATTCCTGCAATCATGGCATGTTCCTGAACCCAGTTGTAACACTTCTTGAAGTGTATTAGCTTCTGTGGTAGTGTTCCTCGGAGTTCTAGATTTTCTTATTATCATAGGGTAGGTGCGAATGTATTGATTTCTCGTTGAGATTCTTTACCAGTCAATACCATATCATGGAGCAAAAACATCCTGTTACCTACTGTCTATTCCAAAGACACCACATCTTTAAAGCCTACTAACTCTCTAAGTAGTTGACGGATTTACTCAGTTCCACTTCCCAGACCTAGCCGAAGGTCTTCTTTCAT